AAAAAAAAGAATATTCCAAGACCAATGACTTGTTTGTAGCAGATGCCATTTTCAGCCATGCAAATGGTGACTGCACTTGGACTTCTCCAGGTGGAATACACAAAAATCAAATTGACTACCTCTGTGGGAATTGATCATAGAGAAGCTTAACTAGGATAAGAGCTGACTATGGACTAGACCACCAATTGCTCATAGGTAGGTTCATATTGAACCTGAAGAAAATTGAAGAGTTCATGAGAGGCAAAATACAACCTTGAGTCTATCCCACCTAAATTTTGAAAACATCTCGATTTTTTTTTTTTTCAGTTGAATATGACTTATTTATCGTGCCTTTTGTTTGTTTTTTAGATGATGGCAAACAGCCCCCTAACATAGAACAGAGGCAGGTGGGCCCCGTGTCAGGGCCAAACAAAGCAGTGGTCATATGCATTGTACCCACGCAAACCTTCCACTTGTAATTTTTTTCTTTTTACAGTATTAGTGACATATAATTTTCATACTATACTTTTCTGTGATTATACATATTAAAAAGAGTTGTTCAATCATCACCACAATCAATTCCCCAAACCCTTGTGCTTCATCCTTTTTTAATCATTTTATTGGGGGCTCATACAACTCTTATCACAATCCATCCATCCATCCATTATGTTAAACACATTTGTACATTTGTTGCCATCATCATTTTCAAACCATTTTCTACTTGAACCCTTGGTAAGAAAAGATTTTTTACATTGAATATTAGTGACAGAAAACTTGATGAGCTGTGGGAAACATCAAGAACATCATTCATGGAAGCAAAGGTCATAAAAAAATAGGAAAGAAAGAAAAGATCAAAGTGGATGTCAGAAGACTCAAACTTGCTCTTAGTCATAGAGTAGCTAAGGCAAATGGAAGAAAAGATGAAGTCAAAGAGCTGAACAGATCATTTCAAAGGGCAGCCCAAGCAAACACAGTAAAATAGTATAAGGAAATGTACAATGACTTAGAGTTAGAAAACCAAAAGAGAAGACACTTAGCTTATCCTAAACTGAAAGAACTGAAGAAAAAAAAATCAAGCCTCAAGTTATAATATTGAAAGATTCCGTGGGAAAAATATTGAATGATGCAGGAAGCTTCCAAAGAAGATGGAAAGAATATACTGAGTCACTATCAAAATGAACTAGTTGACTTTCTGTCGTTTCGGGAGGTAGCATATAAGCAAGAACCAGTGGTATTGAAGGAAGAAGTTTGAGCTGTGCTGAAAGTATTAGCCAAAAAACAAAGCTCCAGGAATTGATGAAATGCCAACTGAAATGTTTCAACAAGCTAATGAAGCACTGGAAGCACTCACTCGTTTATGCCAGGAAATTTGGAAAACCGCTTTTTGGACAACTGACTGGAAGAGATCCTATCTGTATCCATTCCAAAGAAAGGTGACCCCACAGAATGCTCAAATTATAGGATAGTATCATTGTTACCACCTGCAGGTAAAATTTTGCTGAAGATCATCCAGCAACTGTGGCAGCAGTATATTGACAGGGAGTTACCAGAAGTTAGGGCCGGATTCAGAAAAGGGTGTGGAATAGGAGTATCACTGCTGATGTCCGATGGATCTTGGCTAAAAGCAGAGAATACCAGAAAGATGTTTACTTATGTTTCGTTGACTAAGCAAAGACTTTGGATTGTGTGGATTATAACTGTGGACAGTCTTGAGAAGAATGGGAATTCCAGAATATTTTATTGTACTCGTGAGGAACCTGTACATGATCCAAAAAGCAAGCCCTTACTTGCCTATGCCACGAAATTTGGAAGGCAGCTACTTGGCCAACTGACTGGAGAGATCCATATTTGTACCCAATCCAAAGATGAGAGACCCAACAAAATGTTCAAATTATAGAATAATACTGATATAACACTCAAAATTTTGCTGAAGATCATCCAACTATGGTTAAAGCAGTACATTGATAGTGAGGTGCCTAAGGTTCAGGCCAGATTCAGAAGAGGATGCAGAAAAAGGGATGTCATTACTTAGGTCAGGTGCATCTTGGCTGGAAGTGGAGAAGCGGAGAGTGCTAGAAAGATGCTTACTTGTGTTTATTGACTATGCAGCAACATTCGGCTATGTGGATCATAACAAATTATGGATAGCCTGAGAATGGGAATTCTAGAACTATTGTGCTCATGTTGAATCTACATGAATTGTATTAGGCTTTGTTTAGAGAAACAAAACCAGTGACGTGTGTGTGTGTGTGTGTGTGTGTG